AACCCAATCTTGGCAATGCTGGCCTGCATCACCTGACGAGGTCTTATCGGGAGCGGCCAAGAGGGGGGTGTCCAAGAGGGGGGGGTGCAAATCATGACCAGCGGCATGTGCGCGGCCCAGCGGGGGGGCCAGGGACGTAATGACATAAGAAGAGGCGCCATGAAATCTGGGGAAATATCATGGCCCCCGCCATGATACCCACCCACCCCCAGTCATCACCCCTCTCTTTGCCGCCCCCGACCATCCCCTCCTCCTCCTCGTCGATCCTCCTCCTCCTCCTCCTCCTCCTCGTCGATCCTCCTTGAGCCTCCTCCTCGAGGAGGAGGAGGAGCAGGAGGAGGAGGAGGAGGAGGATCGAGGAGGTTCGAGGAGGCTCGAGGAGGTCATCACCCCCCTCTTTTCCGCCCCCGATCCAAGGAGCGCACAGCCGCGCTTCCAAAGCTGGTCAGCGCGGCGTCCAGCGAGAGCCCCGCCTTCGAGAGAGAGAGCCGCCGCCTTCTGCGTGCCCGCCGGGCACGTGTGCGCGCTGGGCCGATCGATGCACCGGCCATCGCTCGGACGTCCGTTCCCCGTGCGTTTTTCGGTTTCGTGCGCGGCTTTTTCCCCAAATGATCAAGGATGCTCCTCGATGGCCCTCGCCGAAGGAGAAATGCACACGTCCGAGCGATGCCGAGTGCAAGAAGATCCACGCGAGAGCCCAGTCTCGAGAAGGAGACGCCACCCACCCGCGCAGCTGCGACGTGTCATATCAGCTCCTGGTCTTCCCACTTGAAGCAAGAAACCGCGAAAGCCGCACTCTGAAAAGGAACTGCCCTGCATCTGTGCAGCTGCTGCGCAATCCGCCACCGTGCCCTTGAGTGCCCAAAGGTCCACAGCTGTGCTGCTGCCGCTGCAGCCAAGATTCCAGATTCTCAAAGGCCCAGACGTCCGGTTTCCCAGGCGCACCCGGGAATATCAAGGAGCTCATGGAATGTATCACTTGCGTCTTCTGAAAGCGGGTCCCAAAGCGGGCCCGGAAGGACCGAGGAGGCCGCGAAGACAGCCCAAGAGAGTCTCGAGTCGCCTCAAGATCGTCCTCAGATCCTCAATATGTCTTGAAGATGACCAAAGAAGCCTGCAAGAAGCTCCAAGGGGGACCCAAGGCGGCCCAACAGTACCCCCAAGAGGGCCCTACGATGAGATGCCAAAACCACAACTGTTCTTCAGGCTTTTGAAGTTTGGTTTTCTCGCCTTCTCCAGTTTTTGACACTCCAAGACGGCCCAAGAAGCCTCCAATAGCGCCCCTGAGACTGCCTAGGAGGCCCCCAGGAAGGACCCACGAAACCCCAACAAAGCCCCAGGACGGCCCAAGAGGCCCCCAACCTGGAGGCACCCGGTAAGGCCCCAAAAAGGGCCCGAGACGGGAAACACGAACGAACATTTTGAGCCTTCCGCCCCAAGATGGCCCCAAGGCTCCCGAGCCCCCCCCGCAAGACGCCACAAGAGGCCCCCAATATCACTCAAGAGGCACACAAGAAGCCCCCAAGACGCTTCCAATAGTCCCCCGAAACCCAAGAGACCCGCACATGCATCCAAGACGCCTCTGAAACACAGCCCAAACACGGTCTTCGGGCCAAGAGTTGGCCCACCGTCATTGGGCCATCGTAAGGTCTTCTTTTCCACGGGGGGCAATGCGCCAGATGTCAAATCAAGATGCATATCATTGATTCGCTCATCACTTCCTCGGAGTTGCGTTAACGCTGGCACCTGGCACAGCATGACTAAAGCGCAGGAACGCTCGCTGTGCAGCCGTAATCTCACCAAGTACAGATCAGCAGCGCGCGTGTGTCCAAATATGACTGGAATGAGGTAAGAGACTCTCTAACTCTCGCGGCTGTTCGACATGCAGGTGTGCCGTCACAACTGCGGATTCACCGACTTCGGACATTCGGAAGGCTCCTGCACCACGGCTCGGAAGTTCTCGAAGGCCCTGTGGCCGTGGCTTGCCACACCTCCCCTCCTCGTGGCTTCGGGAAGTCTTTAACGACTTGCTTTGGCTGAAACACTTTGTCAAAGAGCTCGAGGGTTTCCCTGACCCCACCTCGGATGCTCGTCCTTGGGAGGCCTTGTTTGCAGGTTCTTGCAGTCATGGAGGCAACTACTGCGACGCGCGCAGGCCAACCACGCCACGGCAGCTAGGCGCCTTGCCATGATAGCAGCAGCAGCAGCAGCAGCAGCAGCAGCGGAGGCGGATATTGTTCGACAGTGTTAGGCCGTACGGGGTGCCCTTGCCGATTACACACCCAGATCATCTGATTAGTCAGGCCGCTGGACAAGATTTGTGTAATTTGGAGCGCCCCTGGTGCCAGAGGGTTCCCCAGAGGGTTCCCCATCGTACAATATCATCATGCGTGTGTGAAAGCATGCTGAGTTCATCATCGGTCCCTCGGCTACATGTCGCACGTGTGCAACGTCATGTTCGCAGAGGAAACAAGGCAGAAACCATCTGCCGTTCGATTCAGCACGATGTTGTTTGGCCTGTTTCTTGCATGGTGCGGAAGCGCCTGCACGTATTGCCAGGGCATGGGCTCAGGAGGAGTGGAGATGCTAGCTCAGAGACGGGCGGGACTAGGACGTTGGCGGTCAGCTTTCCCAACGACGTACTACTCATGTGCCCCCTGAAGGCCCCACATGGGATTCCGACTGGGTGTTCTTCACTCTCTCAGAAGCGGAGACCCGAGCTTTCTCTAGGATTCTCTTTCATAGCTTACCGACTACTCCCGAGCGGCCCTACATCAGGATGTCCCTGCAGCCCCTGAAGGAGCCCTACAAGAGCAAGCTGCGGAAGTATGCACCAAGACCGCTACTACATCTACCGGCCCCAGGACGTTCAGGCTGCCCAGGCTGCAGTGCCCACACGTATACACAGAACTGAAATGGGCACAAGTATTTCATATATCCTCGGGCGTGCGACGATCTGGTGACGTTCAGCCCCACATTGAAGCGGAGGTCATCCTCCCAGGCTGCCAGATCACAGCACTTTCAGTGGACATCGCCATCCATCGTTTGAAGGAGGACCTCACTGGACGTCAGACAATCTCATAATGGAGGGGGCACATCAAGGCACACAGGGTTTGCAGCACTGGAGGGGGGTCCCCTTGTGAAACGTGGTGTGCTGCTCGGTGGTTGGAGGCCCCCCCTCCCCTGCGCACAAATGGGTACATCTAGATATACACATATAAATATACACCGACACACACATATATATATATATCTATATATACATACATACACATATATTTACACAGACACACATATCGGGGGTCTATGAGCCAGAACACGGCAGCAAACACAGCTGGAGGTCGGCAGTTCGCTTCCTTTTGCGCTGGTGCAATTATTCTGCGATCTTTTTGGCATCAAGGACAAGCGGATGGATGGAACATCCGCAGCCGGCAATATGGCGTCAAAAAGCTCCCAATTTGTTTGTGCGGGGACCCCTTCGTGCTCGACACTCGTCACCAATCTCCTCCGCTACGGACTTCGACCAATGTGTGTGCGTGTGTGTGTGTTGTGTGTGTATGTATGTGTGTGTGTGTGTGTGTGTGTGCGTGCGTGCGTGCGTGCGTGCGTGCGTGCGTGCGTGCAGGCGTGCGTGCAGGCGTGCGTGCGTGCGTGCGTGCGTGCGCGCGTGTGTGTGTGTGTGTGTGTGTGTGTGTGTGTGTCTGTCTGTGTGTGTGTGTGTTTCAGGACCACCCTGTCTCGGAGATCGGACGTGCGCCGACGGGGCTTGTTTCGATTAGAGTACCTACACTACATACGTAAATGCGTACATAGTAATAATTGTTGTTGTGAACAGGAGCAGGAATATCACATGACCCTCTTGGGAAAAACTCTGGACAATACGGTGTTCAAAACAATAAGTATCAAAAACGTATTCGTCACGCATCCCCTGTACTAGCTCAAACGATTGCTTATCCTATGGGAGCCATCTCGGACGATACGATGAGGTTATCCAGAGACTACGGAACATGTATACCATCTTGGATCATGATACGGTATGTGTGACGGCGCCCGACTATGCGAGTAACAAGCTGTGTGTCAGAGGTGATCCCGAGCTCCGAGGCGAGTGGATGGAAGCGGCTCCCGTCCTCTCCCCTTCCCTCGCGGCCGCTGGCGACGGCGTCGAGGAACGGAGAGAGGACAGGCGACAGCCCGCCACCGTCGCGTCGTCCCTTCCCCCCTGCGCCCGAGCCGGCCTGGCAGGTGCCCCAGGTGCCCTCCCACAGCGCCGAGGCCGAGGCTGCTGCCTTGTTCGGTCTCCCCTTTCCTCCCCCCTCGTGCCGCCCGCCTGCCTCGAATGGGCAGGCCCCAGGAGAGGCGCCCGTGACGGTGGAGGGCACCGACGTGCCCCTCGGGGCCGGCCCCCTCTTTTGCCTCCTCCCCCTGCTCCTCCTCCTCCTCCTTCTCCTCCGCCTCCTCCTCCTCCTTCTCCTCCTCCTCCTCCTTCTCCTCCTCCGCCTCCTCCGCCTCCTCCTCCTCCTCCTCCTCCTCCTCCGCCTCCTCAGCCTCCTCCGCCTCCTCCGCCTCCTCCGCCTCCTCCTCCTCCTCCTCCTCCTCCTCGGCCTCCTCCTCCTTCTCTTCTTCCTCCTCCTCCTCCTCCTCCTCCTCCTCCTCCTCCTCTGCAGTGGTCTGACGTGCAGTTCGCCAGTCTCGCGGCTAACCGAGCAGCTGCCGAAGAACGTAGGCTCCAACGCATCGCCCGAGGGCGAGGCGCCGCGTTCTCGGTCTGGCTCTCCTTCCTCTGGGGCCTCCCAGCGGTTTTCCAGGTAAGAGGGTACGGCAGGTTCGTGTCGTGTCGACCCCGGCGTTGGATCCCAACACCGCGGGGATCGTTCAACCTTGAACGATCGGCCACTTCAGAAACGCCGAATCGTTCAACGAAGGGGCCGATTCTGGGTCGCCGGCGACGTTCAAAGCTGCACGCCAGCGGCGGGGTCGCCGCCTGTCGACACGACGCGAACCTACCGCAGTAGCCTCTTGAGCACAAGTTGACCGTCATGCCACGGTGCCGCCACCACCTCTCCTCCTCACCCCTGCTTTCCTATCGCCTCTTCGCCCCTCGCTCCAGTCGAAGGTCCTCCTCGCACCTCCCTCGCACCTCCCTCGCTCCTCCCTCGCTCTGGTCGTCCCGGTCGTCGCCCCAGCGCCCCTCGCTCCAACCGAAGGTCCTCCTTGCAGCTCCCTCGCTCCTCAACCGCTCCTCCCGCGCTCCGGCCGTCCCGTTCGCCGCCCCTCGCGCCGCGCTCCCCCACCGCTCCTGCTCACGCCGCCAGCCGCGCTCGGCCCTCTGCACCGTCGCTGGGGCTCGACACGCTGCCTGACGGCTCTCTCGGGGCCCCTCGTATAGGCCGCCTTGGGGGCCCCTTGGGGGGCCAATAGGCCCTGAGATCCTCGCGTCGCACAGCTCCCTCACGCCGGGCAGTGTCGCCCTGCTTCGGGCCCCGGGACCCTCACGGGTCGACCTGGCCCGAGAACTGCCGCAGAAAGATGGGGTCTAGGGCTCCTGTTCCGATTTCGCAGGACCTTGTATTTTTCCGCGCCGCCGGATCTCGGTGGAGGCCCCACGGGGACCTGCGCGGCGCTGTCGGGGACCAGCCCTGAGATCCGACGTCGCGACATAAATTGCAGCATCCTCGGAAACCACGACCAGAGCTCTATTGGAGTCCCCAACTTCCTGCACCATTCCCCGAAACAGGTCGATCCGCGAGTGCCCCAGGTTTGAACGCCATGGGTCAATACAGACAGCGACCGCTGCTGGGTAGGCGGTTCTCAAATGGACCACGCCGGCGGCGATAACGACAGCGAGCCCCGTTCAAGATGAGCAAGAACTGCTGCCGGCCTTTGTACCCATTCTTTCCGTGCTAATTCTGGTCCTCCAGACTGGGCCTGGGGTGCCCTGTGATCCCGGCGTCGTGGCTTCCACAGCATGCGGTGTCGCCCTGTTTCTGGGGGGACCAAAAAGGTACCGATACCGCTACTCCCCGGACTTCGCCCAGGGTGCGTTCTGACCGCAGTTTGGAAGCGAAGCAAGCGGTGGCGACGAAGGCTTCCAGGAGGCCCCACCGCTTCCTCCTCTGAATCCCGGGCCTCGGGGCCCTCTCGGATCGATCCGGCCGCACCGACCGTGCCGACCAGGGCCCCGCGGGGCGAGGCCGCCCAGGCGTGGAGAAAAACAGCAGGGCGGCGCCCGGGGCCTGGCGGAGCAGCGGCGGGAGAGCACCGCCCCCGGGGAAGCTGCGCACCCGCACTCCGCAGCGCTGCGGGGCGTCGGGCCGAGGCCCGACGGGAGGAGAGTCAGAGGCGGCAGCGGAGGAGGAGGAGGAGGAGGAGGAGGCACAGGAGGATGAGGATGAGGATGAGGATGAGGATGAGGATGCTGCTGCTGCTGATGAGGAGGAGGAGGAGGAGGAGGAGGAGTAGGAGGAGGAGGCGGAGGCGGAGGCAGAGGAGGCGGAGGCGGAGGCAGAGGCGGCATGGAGCAGCAGCAGCAGCAGCAGCAGCAGCAGCAGCAGCAGCAGCAGCAGCAACAACAACAACAGACGGCGAGAGGGCGGCCGGCCGCCCGGGAGGGATGCGCGCCTTCTGGGCGGGCCGCTCGCCCGCGCGGCGTGGCCGCATGGGCCCGCCCAGCTGGGAGGGCCGCCCGCCGCTGGCCGCGGGCACACGCCCGTAACTGGGCTGACTACGGCAGGTTCGTGTCGTGCCGACTTCGGCGCTGGCTCCTGGCACCGCGGGGGGTGTTCAACCTGGAACGATCGGCCGTCTCCGAAACATCGACCCATGCTGGGTCGCCGGCGGCGTCCAAGGTTGGACGCCAGCGGCGGGGTCGCCGCCGGTCGACACGGCGCGAGCCTGCCGTACCTACCAGACCACCCCAACCGAAGCCGAAGGGTCAAATCTCGGGTTTAGGGGGGGGGAGGGGGGCGGGTTCCACCTGTGCTTCTTCGAGGCTCCCCGACGCCGCCCCCTTCCCACCGGGAATGGAGGGCAAACCGGGGCCTTCGGGTAGGGTCGGGGCGGCTTGGTGGGAGGGGGGGAGCGGGTTCCACCTGCGCTTCTTCGAGGCTCCCCGACGCCGCCCCCCCCCCACCAGGAATGGAGGGCAAATCGGGGCCGTCGGGCTGCGTCGGGGTGGCTTGGCGGGTGGCGATGGGCTGGCCGCCGAGGGTCTGCGGCGGCCGGGGGAGCGTCGCCGCGGCCGCCTTCTGGAGGGGGCCTCGCGCGCGCGCGCCGCCGCCGCCGCCCGCGGGGCCGGCCGGGCCGCGCGGGGGCGAAGGCACCGAGGCATCCATCGCCCGCTGCGTTCGAGATTGAGCAGGGACCGACCGCCCCGGCATTCCTATAGGCCTACCACGAAATGTTCTTAGAACCCAACGATGTTCTAAGAACAAAAGCAGTGCTCTTAGAACATAAACCCGATGTGTTAAAACAAGACAGTCTCAGCCGAAAATGCTCTAAGAACAGTTCTTTCGTGCAGACCACAAAAAGTTCTTAGACCATTCTTTGTTGGGCCTATAGGCGAGCCAGGACGCTTCGAGAGCAAGGCCCACAGTTGGCGGCGCGCACGAGGGGGCAGGAGGAGGGGGGACGGCTTCTTAGAAGGAGGCTGCTTCTCAGGAGGCGCCGGCCCTACATGTACAGATGAGGCACGCGCCTTCTGAGAAGCCGGGGTGCTTCTCAGAAGCCTTCCCCCCTCCCCGTACCGCCCTCGGCGCGTGGCCGACAACCCCCCCCCCATCGAGTCATGAAGAAGATCAGGACAGAAGGTTTTGGATGGTTTTCGGCCTCTCAGGGGCCCTTTTACCAGGTCACGTGAGCATCAAAATACAACTCAGGCTGAGAAGCCGGACCCCCCTCGGGTCAAGAACCTAGTGAGCGATGATCAAAAACGGGTCCTACGCGAGATGACATAGCGACCGTATGCGGTGGCTTACGCGAACCGCTGGCGCGGCACGCTGCTGAGACGAGGGCGCTTACGCGCCAATGTCGGCGAAATCGAACCCGGTTCTCTCGTCGCTCAAATCACGACGGAAGGTTTGTTTCGGCCCCTCGGGGCCCTTACGAGGCCACGTGAGCGTCGCAACACATCTCAGGCTGAGAAACCGGTCCTGTGGAAGGGGTCCAGACCTTTGGGGGCCCACGCTGTGAAACAAAAACATGGCATCATGGGCCTGGGGATCCTGGCGCCGCAATGTTTGTCGCACCAGGCGGTTTCGCAGGGCTCTGACCCCGTGGCTTGGGGAAGAAAAACGGGAAGATGGGGCTCCGTTCATGCTTTATCGCTACGTTGTAATTTTCCGCTGCGTTACGTCAGAGAACGGCAGCCCTGCTCGAGATCCATCATTATACCGATACGACCACGCTTCGGTTGGTAAGGAGGCTGGGGGGTGAGGGGAAACCAACTGGCGGCAACTTCGATGATTTTGACGGCGACGAGAGACAGCGACGATGCACGACGATGCTCATGGTGAGAAAGCATAGTGGCGATGGTAATGAAGGCGACACAGCCGACGGCAAGCTCCAGATGGTCACGGTGGGCGTGCGGTTGCACCGAGCCGTGCTGACAGAAGCCACGTCGTCTAGTTCACTCGTTTTTTTTGTTTTTAGTTTTTGTTAGCCGGCGACGCAGCGAATGCTGTACACAGTTTCGACCCCACCCCTAGGCGCCGTCGGAACACCAAGCTGAACGCTCGAAGACGGCCGCCCAGAATTGGACGGAGAAGGCGAGAAGGCGTCGTCCAGCTCACTCGCTGATCGACCAGTCATCATATTGCTTCCACATCTCCCGAGGGGGATGACAGGCAGCCCTCGGGCAAGGCGTTGGGCCCCCCTCCCCGGGCCGCTTCGCGCCCTCTCAACCAAAAGACCGACGGAGGGCCTCCGCGCTCTCGGCCTCCGGGGGGGGGGGCCCTTGCCAGTCGGGGGGACGTCACGGTGGGGTAGGGGCAGAGGTGGGGCTGGGAGGAAGACCGCCCCAAACGGCTCCTGTCCTGGGAGACGGAAGCGTGAGCATCCAGCCGGGTCCGTTCCCTAACCCCACCTTGGGGTAACCCCTCGTCTACGAGCCCCCGAGCCAGGCCCGGGGGCCGTCAAGCGCCGAGCCGGGAGGAAGAGCCGGTCCCAGGGAAAGGGTCGGGACCTCCCGGGTCCCCGCACTGCCAGGACGAGGATAACATCGAGTGAAGATACATCGAGAATCTCCTGAGTTCGGCGGCTCTGGAGGATGTCTCGGGCGCCGCGGTCTTCTCAGAGCGTTCCGGAACGCTCCGAGAGCGTTCCGGAACGCTCTGCAACGGATGGATCCTCGTCCTAGCCCCGTCCGACCCTACCTCTACAAGGCGATGACAATCTCAGGGATCCGCCCTCGAAGACCGGGCGAACCTTCGAGACCAGCACCGAGATGAGGTGATACGAATCTCGGGGACAGGCACACGCTTCAGGCTGGCAAGCGAAGGGGGGCGTGGGCGACGCGAGAGATCCCCCCCCCAATTGGAGGTCTGGCCCCCTTCCCGCAGACCGGCTTTTTACCCTGAATCATCTCTTGACGGCCCCTGGGCCTGGCTTGGGGCTTCCTGGAGGCTAAAAATTCGAGGGAAAACCTCCCGTCGTGTGAGACGTCTGTTGACGGCCCTGGGGCTCTGGAAAGGCCCCTGGAGGCCAGTAACTCCACCCGAAATCCTCCCGTAGGGTTTTTTTGTTTCTCCACAGCGCGAGGATGTCCGAGGCGGGGGGGAAGGCGGCTGTGGGCGAGGCGAGAGGCCCCCCCCCGCCCAAGAAGCTAAGGAGGGGGAGACAAGGAGGCGAAGAGGGGAGGAGGAGGGGGAGGAGGAGGTGGAGGGGGAGGGGGAGGAGGAGGAGAAGGAGGAGGAGGAGGAGGAGGAGGAGGAGGAGGAGGAGGAGGAGGAGCCTCGTCTCGATCCCATTCAAGCAAGGCTCCATGCCTGGTCTTATCTGCTCTGGGTTGGGGTGCTGGCCATCGCCTCGTCCCCTCTCTCGCTCCGCTCCGCTCTGGAGCCTGCCGTGCCGATACAGCGGCACGGACGGATGCGCCCCTGTTGGCACCCGCACGGGGGACGCCATGTGCGAGGCGCCCACAACTGCGCGGCTGTTGCCCAGCACGCGCGAACGTGTCGCACAACACACGAAAGACTGCACAACATGAGGTTCCAATAATAACGCCAAAAAATCGGCTGAACCCTGAAGGGTCGCTTTGGGCACAAAGCCACGCGTTTCGTGGGTCCACAGCAAATTTCATGCTGCATACCAGCGATGAGGGCGTCAAGGCCCGCCGGGGAGGAGGAGGAGGAGGAGGAGGAGGAGGAGGAAGAGGAGGAGGAGGAGGAGGAGGAGGACGAAGAGAGAGAGGAAGAGAGGGGAGGTCTCGAGAGCGAGCTAGGTGCGCTCGCGCCAAATCTGACATGCTAACCCCTCCCACCTATCCCTTCCCTCTGCGCTGGATCCTTTCCTGTTCTCTGGCTGGGGTGTCATTGAGGACCTTGATGCCCAAAAAGAAGCTGCAGGATTTGGCCGATCGTTTGCTTCACAATCGAAAAGGGGGCAGAGAAGGAGGGGGAAAGTTGGGGGAGGAGGGGGGAAATTGGGAGCTGGGAGTCGTATTCGGCACATGGAGATATTCGTGTTCCAGGTTCGTCGTCTTAGTGCCACGGAAGTAGCCACAGCTAGCACGACATGTTTAAAGCACTATGCACACGCATTTTACGACTATGATGTGCCCACAAGCCCCCCGCTACAGGAGGAGGAGGAGGAGGAGGAGGAGGAGGAGGAGGAGGAGGAGGAGGGACGAAACGCCTGGCGACTGCAAGAACCGCCCTGAGCGCGCGAGATGGCAGGCGCGTGTTGCTTTGCCCGTGCTTCCGTGCTCGTCTCCCGGCAA